CTCGGCGGTGTCGGTGTGCGCACGTTTACTCGTATGTGTGTATGCGTATGGAATGTAATACGGTAGCTGGTAGCGTCACATGGCTATTTGGAGGAGCTGTGCATGGTGGTCGAGGGGTGCGATGGCCGAGAGGGTTGCCCAGAGAGCAAGGGTGCAACGCCAGCGAGGAAGAGGTAAGGACCGAAGAGACCGGCACGAAGAGACGCTCGAGGCGACGCTCTCCCCCCCCCCTTCCGTCCCCTTTCTCTTTCCCTGGCATTTCTCTCCGTCGAGCTTTCGCCTTTCTTTCTTCCTTCCTCTCTCTCTCTCTCTCTCTCTCTCTCTCTCTCTCTTCTCTTTCCCCTCTTCCACGGGAATGACGTTCCCGGAGCTCCCTCGACCGAGTCGCTCCCCGTAGCGCGGCCGCGCTATCTCCTGTTTTCCTTTGTTCCCGTAGACGACAGCGATATTCCGCGGGAATCCGCAGATGTGGCTCGGTCCGCTCCGCTCGGTGTCCCGCCTCTTGCTCGGTTTGCAGGCCCGACTTGGGAGCTTGCGAAAAGCCAGACCATTGACACCGGCGGTGCTCACCCGCGGCATGGCACGGCACGGCATTGTTGCGCGACGAACGGGCTAATAAAGAAAAATAAAGGTTCCTTCGCGGATATTAGTTCCCGCCTGTGTCGCGGGAAGCCAGCGGTGCCGGCGTGACGACGCGAGCAGACGCCGGTCGTCGATTCGCCCTGGAGAAGGACACGACAACCACCACGACGACGACGCTGCCTCTTACGGAAGGGATTCTTTATTTACGCCGAGGTTGCTCGCTGCTGACGCGTCCGGACCGCGCGCGTTCTCTCTCTCTCTCTCTCTCTCTCTCTCTCTCTCTCTCCCCCGACGGGATTTCATTTGAAAATTCTGCGCGATGAAGAGCGATTTTATCCGTCCGCGAATATATACGAATGCGCGGCCGCCCGTATTTGCGGCAATGCGAGGATATCGCCCGTTTAATCGCTCGGCGTATGAAATATCATCGTTTAATTAATGTACTTGACGTTACAGCGAGTAGTCAATTATCCGGCGGTCCCTGCGATGCAAATCGGCCGAATCCGCGTCGAGTATCTCCCCGCGTCCGGGAAATAAAATAAAACGAATGAGGGAAGGGAGGGGGGAGAGAGAGAGAGAGAGAGAGGGAGGAGAGAAAAAAACAAGAATAAATGCGCGCGCACGGATTAACGTGAAGCGTGTCGGGAAAATCTCACCGGCCGGACCCTCTCGATAATCTGTGCGCGGGACGAGTGTTTTCTCGCAGGAGGAGGAGATTTCGTAGCGCGAGGAGGTGAGCCTCCGGCGATCGAAGAAGAAAGAGAGAAAGAGAGAGAGGAGCGCATGATTCTCTCAGACGGATCGCGGTTCATACGAGAAATAAAGAGAGCGAGAGAGAGAGAGAGAGAGAGAGATTTGTTGTGCGCGGCGGGCACTCCGACGTACCGGTCCGTTTTGTTTTCCACGTCGCTCACAGTGACGCGGCGAAAGGACAAAACGAAAGGTGCGCCCGCGTGTTCGATCCCTCTCGATGGCGAATTAAAGTCGCCGTTGGTCGGCCGGCAGCCGTTGCACCTTGCTCGTCGCGAGTGAGCGCGCGGCCAGCTGAATCTCGTTTCGCGTTTACACTGGACGCATTCAGCGGAGACAACAGTCGAGTAGCGATTGAATGCGATTGGTATGTACTGCTCTGAGATATTCAGCGAAGCGGGTCCCATTGCCGCTCTCAAGTGCTACTTGCCGATTGTAGTCGCCGCTGAATGCATCCATTGACCGAGATATTCATACAAGCGACATTGAAAACTATTGTGGCGTACCTAAGACAATCGACGGCTGTCGCAAGAAGCGACCGCCTTCGTATCCGTCTCCGATTGCACAGGAGAGATAGACGGAGAGAGGCGGAGGGAAAGAGAGAGACGCAGAGAGAGAGAGAGAGAGAGAGAGAGAGAGGGAGAGAGAGAGGATCCACGCGTCGTCTTGGTCGAAGACGAGAACGCTCGGCGAGAAATTTCGCGAGACTCGGAGAGTGAAGTGAAGCGTTATGAAAAAAGAAGTGCGATTATAAATATGCTGTGAAATTGTTCCTCCCCTTCGAAATAACGACCGAAGAAGTGTTTGCACAATCGTAGGGCTATAGATTCTCGCCGTTGACGTCTGATTGCGCGTGTTCTGATTGCGCTTTCTTGTGACATTATTGATCACTCATAAGTATGACTCATGATTTCGACTCGTGGGTAAATAGCAATCGAAATCACGTAACCCTTGAACAGAAATAAAGCCCGTAACGAAATAATCGTTTCTCGCGTTTTTGCTCGCGCCGCCGGAGAGGAACTCGGCGAAAGCACGATATCTCGTCTACGCCCTCGCGCGAGCGTTTCCCTTTGCGTCTTGCGCTTTTCGTCGCGTGCACCCGTTCACCCTGTTTCCATCATGGCGTTCCATTCGCGCGCATCATCTCATTTCGCATTTCCTCGCGCGTCAGGTCGATACGCCGCGCCGATACGCGCATCGCGAACGGCAGAAGCAAAGACTCGCCACATTGTCACTCTCCACCCCGCTGCAATTCGCCCCATCCGGCCATCTCCCCCTCAAGTTCCCCCTTAAATTCGCGCAGAAGGTGCGCTCCGAGAATCCTGACGCCCGTCTCACCCGACCGGCGGGTCTACGTTTCGCGAACGAGGGAGCGCCCCGTCGTCGAGAGCTGATGGGGAGAAATAAAAGTCGTTTGTGTCGAATATTAGCTTCTTTGGAAATCCTTTGGAAAAAAGGCGACGCAGAGAGCGGCGCGAGGAGAGGGACGAGCAGAGTTCGACGCCGCGTCTGCCGACGATTCGCGGCATTCGGAATGCAGAAGCTCGCTCGCGCGCGCGCGCGCGCGCGCGCCTCCTCCTCGTAAGGTCGCGCCAGATTTTTCCCGGAAAATGCTGCCGGAGAATGTCGACCCCCGCAGCCCCCGCCGGCGCCCCAGCGAACGGCGATCGAAGCGATCCCGGCGAACACGCCCGACGCGAATAAAAGCTTTCCCACCGGTGCGCGGCGCGCTCGGCGTGCTTTTATTGCGCGACCGAGCGACTCCGAATCTACAGATATTAGCGTGATTCGGCCCTGTAGACACGCGGATCGAACGCGCGCGCGCGAAGCCGGACGAGATGCCGGGCGATTAATCTCCATTAAGCGGGCGCCGCGGCGCCGAAAAATCGAAATGGTAAGTTTAGCGGAATCGAGAGCTAATTGCGCGCGCGAGGCTGGCCGCTGCAGCCGCGATTACAGCTCCAGCGGGGCTCCCGCGGGGATTCGCTTTTGAAAACTTTCGCCGGAAGAAAACAAGCCAAGCAACAAGTACACACAGCGCGGATCTAGCGCTGTCTGCTGGTGCTTTTAAGAGCAACGAGCAAAATGGAGGAGCGAGGGTGTTGGCTTGTTGACGCAAGCTAGCAGCCCGTCCGTGCTCAAACGCGTGCTCTTGTTGAGCCGCTCGAGCGGCTAAAATCGGGAGTGCTGCTCTAAATTAGCATCTACTTAACACCCAATTCTGGTACGGTTTTCATTTCCGTTTTCCGTACCGAGGGGGTTAGCTCGTGCCGGGAAAATTGGGAGATGGAATAGTTTTGTTAACGCTTCGAACAAGAGAGTGGATAATTTGAAACGCATGATTTCTTTCCTTCGCTTGACGCCCTCACAATTAGCCCAAACCTCGTCTGTTAAAAAATCCAGCCGAAGACCCGCGAGTTTCATTTTTGCCGCGATCCTCGGTGTAGTTTGAGAAAGCGTAGTTATATATTTATGACAAGTTTCGTCAGCATAATATATTTATGATATGATGAAAAAGTGTCGTGATCACGTGTGTTAAATAAACAATAATTATTAACAAAGATCAGCGCCGTGTTTTACAGGCACGCGCCAGCTTAGGCTGAGTCTCGTTCAATTTAACTGCTACTTTCTCAAAAGACGAAAGAAAATAGTTTAGCGGACTTGGTTTGATTTGATTTTTGATATGGACCAGCTGTGTGTAATTAACGGCCAGTGGAAATGCAAAATTGAAGATTCTACGTACGTTTTATTATACGATATATTATATAGATATGGGAATTAAGATTACACGAGCAGCGAGAGAGGAGAGCTCGACGCGGTCTCGGGGTGTCCCCACTCGCCGACACGCAGGCGTTTGGAAAAGCTTGGCACCCTCTCCGCCACCCTCCCCGGATTGTTTTAAGCGGCGCGCCCTTACGGCGCGGATAAATCGCGCATGAGAGGGCACCGGTCGGCGCGGTTCTAATTTCCGAACGTGCTCGAGAGGTCAACGAGCTACTTATTCTCCCGGGCCGATACAAGAATCGGGTGTAGTTTCTATCCCGCGCGCCAAGAACGATCCATCTCACCCTCTCCGTGACGTAGGCACATCCATCAGTATCGGGCTATAACTGACCGAAGGTAGGATCAGGCCGGAACACTCGTGCTCCGCGTTATTGCCGCACACAAGACGGCTCTCCTTAATTGTGCCGAGGCGGCGTTGTTTGGAAATGAGTATCGCTCGCATTAATTTGCACCGAGTGTGTTGTTTCTCAGGAGCTCTCCTCGTGAGGGAGGGCGCGGGTGGGCGCGCTCCGGTTGGCAGGGGGATATGAGCCCGCGGTGATGGAGCGGAGAGAAAAGCGCGAGGAAGGCAACCGATATCACGTCGTCCCGCCGTTTGTTTACGGAGGCCATTTTGACGGCCATCCAGAGACGACGACAATCATCGCGCCTCATCAAGGCGAAGGGAGAGGACGGCGGCGCCGCTTTCCCTTTCCCGTTTTTCCTTTCTCCCTCGTCTCTCTTTCTCGGCCGAACTTCGCGCGGATACTTCGAAGTTCGCGTTTCGGAGCGACGACGTCGCCGGAACTTTTATTCCGGCGGGGAGAGCGACCTCCGCCGCGACTGATACTTAAAACGGCGACGGTGTTGTCTAACAACTTTGACATTTCCTTTTTGTGTTGTAGATTCGAAGATGAATTGGCCACTGGTGCTGACTTGCTTTTTGCTGCCGCAGTCGTGCATTCTCGGCGCATCGCGTGCAGGTAAGCCATTTTATCGAAAACTGCCAGCGACTTAAAGCGAGTATCACCGATTGCAGCCGTATGTATACGTATACGTATAGCCGCGAGAGAGCTGGCTCGATAGCGCGTGCGCGATAAGGAGAGAGCGCGGTGTATCGCCGCCCCATCGCCATGTCGTGGAGAAATATAAATTTAGATTGCCCGCTCGCGCGCTTCACCGGCTGCTTCACACACGCCTGCGAGAAAAAATTAGCCGTGCAAATATTAATCAACTCCTTTTCCGCGCCCGCGCTTTGGCCGATCTGTAATCCGCGACGGGCGTATTAAATGTAAATCCTATTGATAATGCGGCGCACACGCGCGCCGCCGCGCGTAATATACGATGGTACCTGGCGAAATCAAGAACGCGGGCGCACATCGGCGGGAAAATGCCTGCATGTGCGCGCTCCGTTTTTACGGGAGCGGAAAGCGGATAAATCTATCGCAATGCGGCAGATTTATTCACAACGCGGGGCGGCCGCGCGCCCCGTTCTCAGGTGCGAGCGGCGAAACTTTAACGAAGCACGCGCAGTTTGTCACACGTACGTTACACACCTCGCGACGATACTGCGCACCCGACCAAGACCCGCCCCGCCTTTCGTCTTTATAAGCAGCGGCCGTTTCGGAATCCGCTTCTTCGTCCCTGCGGTGAGTCCTCCCCCCCCCCCTCCCCCCCGGTGAGGCTTGCAATGCCCCGGCGGAGCGCTCGTGGCGCGTGAAATATTCCCGCAGCGGGCGGAAAGGCAGTATGTGCTGATTATCGGGCCGCCAGAAACAAGCCCGTTTCGAAATGCGTATACACGTGTAAATGGAAACGCGCTCTGCGAGCGCATTCGTGAATCATTTTACGGGGACACGGGCGAACAATACCATCACCGCTATTTGTTGCGCGACCGCGCCAGCGTTACTTCACCCAGCTGCTGTGCAACGAGCTGCAAAAGCTGCCCCCTGAAAGTGGAAAAAAAGGACCCTCGAATTGGGGCTCGTCCCTTCTTCTTCCTCTTCTCTCTTTTCTCTTTTTTCTCCTTCTCGCCACCTCCCCTCCCCCCTCCCCCCCTCCCGAGTCACAGACGACGACGACGACGACGACGACGACGACGACGGGCGGATAGTAGTCGCGCCGGGCCGCCGAGAGGGAGCGGGAAATCCTTAATCCACCTCGGTCGCCGGAATCTGGCGTGAACCCGTGCGAAAACAACGTCGAGGGGTGGATTATGATGATCGTGGAAACAAGGCGCGAGCGAGCGAGCGCTCGCACTCCGCGGAACGGACGGCTGCTCTTCAGGCGTATTGCACAGCCGAGCGTGACCCATAACCGCCAGTCTTCTCGCCCTCCCCCTCCTCTCCGCCGCCGCAGCTATTTCTTCTCCTAATTCTCGCTCAAGTGCGGGCGGGTGGGTAGACAAATTAGTCCTCTTTCACCCTCGTTCGAGCCGCGAGCTAAGAGGCTCAGCGTCTGCGCCGATGGAGCTTATTTCTCCGCTAAGCTCCTGCGATTCGGTAACAGGTCGTCTCATGACGACGACGACGACGACGACGACGTGGATTCTAGGTTAGCACGCGGGAATGCGATCGGTTCGCATAATCGCCGCGTCACTCTCGCCGTACGAGAGAGAGAGAGAGAGAGAGAGAGAGAGAGAGAGAGAGAGATATCGCTCTCGTGAAATTCGCAAAATTCCCGCCGTCCCCCGCCTTGACGAGAGCATAATGCGATTAGATTCGCCGCTCCTCCTCGCCTGCCGAGCCGCAGCATAATTCTTTATCTGGCCGCCCTTTGAGAGAGCGAGAGAGGGAGAGAAAGGGAGACCGGCACGTGCAGCCGCATCCGTGCTGCGGTGAGCTGACTACCCTATTCGAAAGTTGTCCAGCAGCGTTCAACTTGTTTGGTCCTGCCGAGGCAAATCTCCCTTGCTCTCTCTCTCTCTCTCTCTCTCTCTCTCTCCCCCTCGCTCCCTTCCCGGCCACTCTGCCGGCCGTCGCGAAGGAGGAGACCAGACACAATCTCCCGAGTCGGCCGGCGGCCGCGACCAGCGACCGCGGGCCGGCAAACTTCGATTCCGAGTACACAAGAGACACCGGGTATGCGTCTGCCGCGGCGATTCAGGTCAAAGTGCATTTTCTCGGTCGCGCTCCCGATGCTAGCAAACGAACCGCAGTGATACGTCTCGGGAGGGGAGGGAAGAGGAGGGCATCGCGAGCGAGCGAGCGAGCGAGCGCGATCGCCGGAACTTGTCGACGGACTTTCCCCCTTTCGACTTAATTGGTGGCTTTTGAGTATCGGCGGCTTTCGAGCGCGCCGGGGAGGTCTTTGACTTTCCATCCAGCGGCCGGCAAGTCCGAAACTCCAAGTCGCCGCCCCCCCCCCTCCCCCCGCCGCGGGTGCTCCGCGAGACAATGCCGCGAGAATCGCGGTGACCAGTAACGAGCTGCGATGGCGTTTCGTGCGCGGCGCGCGTCGATCGACGTTTCGGCGTCGTTCCGACGCTTTCCGGCGGCTTCGAGCAGCGACGACTGCGCCGCCGGTGGGGGGGAACGAGACGAAAGGTTGCGCCTTCGCGACCGATCTCTCAGCCCCCCCGCCCCTCCCCCCGCCTCCCTCGCGATTTTCCGATCTATTTCCGGCGCGCCGGCGACGACGCACGGAAGACTCGCTCGCGCGGAGACGCGCCGCGCCGATAACGCCGCGTCGTTCGTTCTTTGTCACGGCAAACCACTTCTTTCGAGTTGTTGAATTCGGTAACTAACTTAATTGGCGGCTTCGAGACGCTCGCGGGCCGTCTTTGTGGATTCAAGTGGCGCGGGACCACGACGACGACGCTTCGCCTTAGAGAGGGTCGTCGTGCACGGGCGACTAAGAAGCTCGAAACTTGTTAATGGCGTGGGTGTTATGGGACAATGGCGTAAAGACCGAGTTGAGATTACCGCCGGGACTACGAGACTTTGTGTTTGATGCAAACGGGACCAATTAGATTGTTAAAGAGACGCGTTTTTCGCGAATCGAGCCCGCCAAGTGCACGGAATATTTTAATTACCATCGAATTGTGCGCGCAACAAACACGGTGCTCCTGCGGACCCTCCGACCGACGCGGGACAAACTTTCCTCCCCGGCGCGGCGCGACGTTGTTATCTTTTCTTGTCGGTGGAAAATATGTATATCGGGTATAAAAATGTGTACGAATGTTTGGATGGGCTCCTCACAAAGACGTCGTTGACCGACTCAGTTTTATGGCAGCGTGTTACACAAAAATGTGGAGATGTGTATAACGTATCAGGGATGATGGAAGACAATGGCGATTATTCGGCGGGATGAGATTTGGCGTTTTTCATCAAATTATACTCGGTCCGTTTCTTCTGTCATGCACCCGAACGCGCCTGTACTCGCCTAGCGCTACGCGCGAAAGAATGTGGTCGGTAGAATCAGTCGATAGTGTCGTGATCGGAGCGGATCTTCTCGGTTCGAGAGTAATTCGACGTGGAAAAGAAGATCTCAGCTCGCGCAACTGGACAGGGACCGAGTGAAAAGTCCGTCTTGATGTCTCCGTAGCCGCGGCTGAAAACACTCGTCTGAACATTCAGCTGCGTTAATGAGGTGCCAAAAAAAAGAAGAGGAACTCTAAAAGCGTCGATAACGCGGAGACAATAAGCACCAACACGATCATGCTGGTCTCTTCGCACATCTCTCGCACATACGGATCTTGTGAAAACGTGCGCCTCTTTGTTTCGCCACTCTTAGCGAGAAACACAAGGAAGCGTGAGTAGAAATCTTCCTGCAAACCTGCTGTACATTTTGAAGCTTCCAAAAATTCAGTGGACGAGCTACTGTAGTATTCTTTGAAATTTTTCTCAACGAGGCGGACGCGCTTTCGATAGGCGCGTGCTGCGGAAATTTTTGCATTGGGAAAGTCTTCACACGCCGACCGACTCGAGATGTCAATTTGGGACATTTTTGACGTTCTCGTCACACATCGAGCGACGCTCCGAGATTTGTTTCTCTCTCCCTCTCGCTTTCATCGTCGGGAACGCATTTGTACTTTTGCGCGGCCGATACGACGTATAAACTTTGCGGAAAAAAATGAATGCTCTGTCGGAAGAGTTTCCAAGCTCGGCATCCCCTTAAAACTCAGTTGAGGTAACTGAAAACAATCGACTGATCAGAAACCCTCCCACAGGAATCTTCACCGCTTCTGCAACCGAGTTTCCCGATTTGGCTCCTATTTATTCGAGGCAGCGAAAAATTCAGTTACACCGACGGGATTGTTTCGCCCGTGTCTGTATGAATGTGTGTGTGTGTGTGTGTGTGTGTGTGTGTGTGTGTCGGAACTTGAATACATCATACATTGTTTTACCACTCGAGTGTTACTTCCGATAACACAGCTATTGAATGAAGACGAACTCTGCCTCAATTACGGTGCGGTTGACCAGTCCCATTGACTCGACGGCACATTCCTCCCCGTGTCGAATTCCCCCTGCCCCCCGTTAATCCAGCCCTATTTATTATTATTAACCAAGACGAACCGAGCCGATCAGCGGAGGCTGAGGGAATCATCTAGAAGGAAAGAGTTGAAAGAAAAAAAGCAAGGAAGATTCTTGAAACGCACCGCTCAACGGTGGATCCGCCATCATCGCGAGGCCCTCACGCACATTGAACAAACGGACAGCGGAACACAATATGGCGGATTAGCTCGTTCGGTAGGCACATAATGCCCCTCGATGCTGGCGAAGCCCGTGTTCGCTGCTTGCCGGCTAGTGGAAACAGTAAATCTAAACGCTTACATGGCTGCCGTGTGTTACGCGGCGCCACGTTTACGGCGGGGGGGGACTCGCTGTTATTTCGGATATCAACGCGCCATTATAAGCCGCCTCCGCGCGAGCCGGAGGTAAATGCGATCCGCGCCCTTCAGCGCCGTCAGCCAGGATAAAATCATTCGGCCGCAGGTGTCACTCCCGACACAACTCGGTCGTTATTATTTGGACGCGCGTCA